GCACGGGCATCGCTTTACAAGCCAGACATTGTGACGACGTAAGCTCGCGGCTCCGCTGTCACAAAAACGTCATGTTGCACACCCGTCGCCGCCTGCTGGGCCTGGCCATCGCCGCTGGCCTCTCCACCCTCACCGCCTGCTCCACGACGCCGCCGGCTGCCGGCGCGGTGGCTGCACCCGCCCCGAAGCTCGTCGTGCTCGTGGTCATCGACGGCCTGCCGATGCGCCAGGTCACCGGCTACCGTGAACCAGCTCGCACCCCGACGGCTTCGCCCGCTTCCTGAACCACGGCCGCTGGTTCTCCAACGCCCACTACGGCCACGGCCACACGGTGACAGCGGCCGGCCACTCGGTCATGCTCAGCGGCGCCTACCCACAGCGCAGCGGCATCATCAGCAACGAATGGCGCGACCCGGCCACGGGCGACCCGGTCTACAACACCGGCGACGCGGCCTACACCTACCTCGACAACCCGACGGCACCGCTGTCCGGCACCAGCCCGCGCAACCTCAAGGTCGAGACGCTGGGCGACGTGCTGCGCACCCGCTCGCCGGCGTCCAAGGTCATCGGCATCTCCGGCAAGGACCGCGGCGCCATCCTGCCCGCCGGCCACAAGGGCACGGCCTACATGTACATGACCGAGACGGGTCGCTTCGCCTCCAGCACCTACTACATGCCCGCCCACCCGGCCTGGGTGACGCAGTTCAATGCCGCCAAGCCGGCCGATGCCTTCTTCAAGAAGACCTGGACCCCGCTGCTGCCGGAGTCTGCCTACGCTCGCTCCGTGCCGGACGGCCAGTCCTGGCAGATCGCCAGCGGCAACGGCAACAAGCTGCCCGCCGTGATCGGCGACAAGATGGACGCCCCCGGTGCCCGCTACTACGGCAACCTGCTGGCTTCGCCCTTCGGTGACGAGCTGACGCTGGCCTTCGCCCGCGCGGCGGTCACGAACGAGCAGCTCGGCCAGCGCGGCGTGACGGACATCCTGTCGGTGAGCCTGTCCAGCCACGACTACATCAACCACGCCTTCGGCCCCGAGTCGCGCCTGTCGCACGACCACACGCTGCACCTGGACCGCCACCTGCAGGCGCTTCTTCCAGTTCCTGGACAAGACGGTCGGCGCCGGCAACTACGTGCTCGCGCTGACGGCCGACCACGGCTTCACCGACACGCCCGAATGGGCGGTGACCCAGGGGCGCGACGCCGGCCGCTTCACCAACGGCCCCGCGCTGGCGCTCGTGAACAGTGCGCTGGCCGCCCGTTTCGGCGTGGACAAGCTGGCCTGGAACTTCTCCGCCTCGGGCCTGCTGCTCAACGAGAAGCTCGCCGCCGACAAGGGCCTGAAGTTCACCGACGTGCAGGCCGCCGCCCGCGACGAGCTGATGAAGCTGCCCGGCGTGGCCGCCGTGTTCACGCCGCGAGCAGCTGTTCGGCAACGACACGGTCACGCCGTATCTGGAGGCGATGCGC